GCTTATCCACTACACCACCAGCGCTCCTATGCAGAAGGTGTAAGATTGGGATTGACTGGACAAAACCATAGGTAGTGCTACATTAGAGACAGAGCTGTGTTTTCATATTTTTCTGGGAAATCAACTCAGCATTTCCTCATAGGAAAGACATAATAAGTAATTTCCTACTATTATATCTTGCAATGATGTTCCTCTGCATCTGGAAAAAGTTTATTTTTATTTATTATTATTATTTTATTCTTATTATTAGTGTGTCTGTGATCCCTTATGCTAATCAGCATATTTCCCTGAATCAGGGCAATTTACACACATTGTGATTTGATCTAACTGAAAATCCCATTGTAGTACATCAGCTATGTTCTTAATTCCACTAGGCTATCTGCTTCATTGCCATTCAATATGAGCAATTTTAATAGCTCAATTTTGCCTATTATAAGAAACAAGGTTTAATTTGATGCCTATTTTATTGACACTTAATTTTTACAGAGCAAGTTCCTGCTCTGGAATAAGGGAAACCGAGTAACGGAAGACTGTTTTCTCTTTATCCTAGGCTGGGGCTGATTTTTCTTGTTCACTGGTTTTCTGAGCACTGATGAAGCAGTAGTAGAGGCACTCCTCAGCTGCTGGCCCAGCGTGAAAGTTTGAGCCCACCAGTCATCCATTAGGAACGAGATGAGGCTGTCAGCTTCCATAAAGACAAACAGCTCCAGAAGGCCTTTGGGGGGGTGCTCTACTCTTCCTTTAGAGTGTGGCAATCACAAAGAATTGACTTCATTGCAAGCTTTTGGTTTGGGGTTTGGGTTGTAGTTCATTTCAAAAGATTACATTTCTTTTGAAATCTGCTCCACCATAGAAGGTCTTCCCTTTCCAATAGCACCCGGGTGCTAAAAGTGTTGCCTTATAACATCTGACCAGACTTTTACATTGTGTATGAACTCATCATAAAACAGTCCAACGGAAAATTGTTTCAGAACCTAAGTAAACAATCCTTCAATGTCTCCATCTCTAAAGAGGAGCACGGATATTAATCCTGAGGAAAGCAAGATGACTATTAAAAGACAAGAAAGGGAAAAGATCAGCATGGATGTCAGAAGAGAGTGAAATTTCCTCTGAATCATCCAGTAGCTAAAGCAAATGGGAAAAGAGAACATTTCAAAGGGCAGCTGAGAAAACAATGCTAAATATTATAATGAAATGTGCACTGCCTTTGAGTTAGAAAACCAAAAAGAACAAGACACTCAGTAGACCTTAAAATGGAAGAACGCAAGAAAACATTCAATCCTCCAGTTGCAATACTGAAAGGTTCTATGGGCAAAATATGAAATGATGTAAGGTGCATCAAAAGGAACTGGAAAGAAAACCTGATCACTGTACCAAAAGCACGTGTAGACAGTTCACCATTTCAGGAGGTAGCATGTGATCAAGAACCAATGGTCCTGAAGAAAGAAGTTCAAACTACACTGAAAGCATTAGTCAAAAATCAAGGCTCCAGGAATTGATGAATATCAATAGAAATGTTTCAGCTCGCTGATGGAGCACTGGAAGTTCTCACTTTTCTATGGAAAATTGGGAGACAGCTACTTGGACACCTGACTAAGAGATCCACATTTGAACACATTCCATATAAAGGTGATAAAATAGGATGCTCAATTTATAAAATGATATCATATCCAAGTAAAATATTGCTGACAATAATTCAACAATGATTGCAGCAATGCATTGACAGAGAGCTGCCAGAGTTTCAGGTTAATTCAGAAGATGTGCTTCCAGGAATATCATTCCTGATGTCCGATGGATCTTGGTTGAAATAAAAAATACCCAAAAGATGTTTATTTGTGTTTTATTGACTATGCCATGACCTTCGACTGTTTAGCTCTTAATAAATTGTGGACAACCTTGAGAAGGAAGAGAATTCCAGAACACTTCATTATATTCCTGCAGAATTTGTACATGGATCAAGAGTCATTTGTGTGAACAGTACAGGAAATGCTGCATGGTTTAAAATCAGGAAGGAGGTGCATCCACATGCATACTCTCACCACGTCTCACCTGTATGCTGAATAAAGAATCAGAGAAGCTGGACTATATGAAGAAGAATGTGGCAACAGGAAAAGAGGAACTTATTAACAACCCGAAATATGCAGATGAGAAACACTTGTTGAAAGTGAGGAGGATTTGAAGCACATAGTGATAAAGATCATAGATTGAAACCTTTAGTGTTGATTATAACTCGATAAAAACAATGTCTACATCCTCACAACTGGACATGTATATTACATCAAGATATATGAAGAAATATTGAGGTTGTCAATAATTTTTTCTTGATAGGATTCACAATCAATACTCATGAAAGTGGTAGTCAAGAGATCAGATGGCACATTGTAGTAGGTAAATGTGTTGCATGAGAACACTTTAAAGTTCTGAAAATCAAGGATGTTACTTTGAGGATTATGGTGTGCCTGACTCAAGCTATGCTATTTTCAATTGCCTTGTATGCATGTGAAAATGGGATATTGAATATGGTAAAATAACAGAAGAATTGATGCATTTGAATTATGGCCCTGCTGAGGAATAGTGAAAGTACCAAGGAGTGCCAAAAATCTGCTTTGGAAGAAGTTCAGTCATAATTTTTCAAGCAGGCAAGGATGAGAAGACTTCATCTCATCTGCTTAGACATGTCGCCAGGAGAAACGAGTCCCTGGAGAAGGACATTGTGTCTTGGTACAGTGAGGGGCAGCAAAAAAAGAGGGAGGTTCCCAGCAAGATAGATGGATACAGAGGCTACAACAGTGTGCTCAAGCACAGGAACAATTGGGAAGGTGGTACAGATCTGGGCAGTTTGTCAGTCTGTGTGCTTAAGATTACATGGGTCCCAACCTACTCAATGGTACATAGAGACAGCAAAGTAAATATGATAATAGCATCTATCCTATAGAGTGACGGATGACAAGGGCTACAACTGCACGTTCAGCACACAGCCTACTGCCTGGAATATATGTTCTCTACATATAGTTTTTATTGCTTTAACAATATTATTTAATTTATCTATACAAATAAAATTATAAGTCATCTATGTCTAAATATTCTCTTTGAAGATAATGATTGATAGTTATGCATATATACTTATATGTTCTATTAAAATATCATGAAACAGTATTGTCTTGCATCTAGACCAGTGGTCATCTTCAATTAGAAATAGCACAGGCAAAGTCAATTCTGAATAAATGGTAAATGTTGAGTGGAACTGATTATGCTAAAAAAACGTGAGAAGCAGAACTTGGATGTGTCCTTGGATCAACTGGTTGGTTGGTTTTGCCTGTGAACAAATAAATACAGGCTTCCATAGTCTAGAATGGAATATTGGTTCAGATCAGAAATTCTGGGAATCAGAATCTCAACGCTTTGCCACTTACTCCCACATAGCCTTGAGGAAGTTTCTTAACATTTCTGTTATTCCATTTCCTTAGCTTTAATGTGACTGCAAATGTCATTTGCAGGTGAGGCCATTTCAAGGGTGTTTGGAAAAATAATGACAATTTTCCACAAACATTTTGAAGTCTTTTTTTATTACCCTGCCTTTCTTCCTAGTCTACTTAGTCTAGAAGCTCTGTTGAGTGTTGTCAGCATCATACAAACATGCAAACTTGCCTCCATCGAAGGCACCGCGACTAATTAGATGCCGACGAGATATCCTATCTGGGAATCAAAGGGTGCAATTTCTACCACTAGTGCCCCAATTTCCAAAATAGTTGCAGGCGGAAAAAAAAATACTTCAAAACTAAAGCATGATTGCAGTTTTACTTTTAGACAATTATAAATGAATATTACCTACTCACAGAGTAGGGGATTAAAGTCATCAA